ACTATGGGACCGTATATATATATTGAAGGATATTGTTTTTATTTTATTGATTTTCTTTGTTTTAGTTTTTGAGGGATTTCTTGGAAAATACCGTAGCTCAAAATTACACAGTGGAGTGGAAAAGGTCAGCCTTTTTCCGATTCGTCGAGCATTTCCCTACCAATTTTATGTCACAGGTATTCACACTATTTTTATAATTTTAATAGGACAGTATAACTTTTTGTTTTCACTTTTTAGGAATTAAAGGCCAAAGTTCTGCAGTTGGTACTAATACCTTGTTTCTCGGTCAGTTTTGAAAGAGGAGAAACGAACAAATTGGTCGGTAGCAGTCCTGCTCCTTATCAAGATAGTCCTGACAATGTGGTTTCCGTGTTCATCCACAAGGTGAGTCACTTATAATAATTACAATTGAAATTGTTTAAAATTAAAATATTGTGTTTTTGCTTTAGCTAATAGATCCTGAAATTCCATTTCCTTTTGTTGTCTCTGATTGCGTGCGCATATCACTGTTGCAATTCTCCTGTCTTCTGGTCGAGCAGGCCAGTCCTCACATACACGATCATGACGCAAACAACAAAGCTCAAGGTTTCAAACTTCGCAAGCTAATGACATTTGCATGGCCTTGTTTACTTGGCAAGAACTGCGTCGATCCTGCTACAAGGTACCACGGACATCTTTTGCTTGCCCACATCATTGACAAGTTTGCCATTCACCGCAAAATCGTTCTACAAGGTGTGTATCAATAAAGTCTGCATATATTTCTTTTACTTTACTTCCGTTTCTTCCAAAGTTTTTCACAGTTTGCTGAAAGCCCACGCCTTGGAGGCTCGAAATGTGGTCCGACAAGCTCTTGAAATTCTCACCCCTTCCATGCCAGTCCGTATGGAAGAAGGGCATACAATGCTGGTTCATTGGACCAAAAAAATCATAGTAGACGAGGGACATTCGATGCAGCAACTGTTTCATATTCTACAGCTAGTCGTTAAACACTATAAAGTAAGACAACAATTATTTATATTTCATTTATCATTGATTTAATTTTGGTATTTTCTCTTGCATGAAAGGTTTATTATCCAGTACGACATCATTTGGTACAGCACATGGTCAGTTCAATTCAAAGACTCGGATTTAGTCCTACTGCTACCTTAGAGCATAGAAAACTAGCAGTTGAACTGGCTGAGGTTATAATAAAATGGGAATTATATGGAATCAAAGAAGACTCTGATGGAGAGGTAAGAAAGATAATATTTTGGTAGAAAAAAGGCTTCATTTAAATTATGTAGCGATTATTAATGATGTGATAAAAGTTTAAAGTTTATTTATCCAAGTACTAAAAGTGTATCAATATCAATACAATATTTTTTACGTTAGTGTTGACGTGTCCACGAGGAAATATACCATGCGCATAATGTTGTGCGCACACTCGCAAAAATTACAGACTATAATAAAATTAGAAAACATAAATATTACAAACTAATTTTACTCATGTATTAAACTAAAGACCGAACGATGCACAGCAGAGTCAAAATTACTTTATTATTACTTTTTGTTACAGTTGTAGAGATCTTTTGATAATCCAAATTTTTTAGAACAACATTATTTACAGATATTAAAAGTTTTCGCTTCATTAGCTTGAAGCAATGAAAGATATATTTTATAAATTCGTAAAGGACTTTAATTTTGTCCTCAGGGGGTGCTTGTAGAAGGGGGATCTTTGAAACGTCAGGCAGTTGATGATTCGATCGAACCTTCATTGAAACGTTTGGCACTACAGCAACCTTCAACCTCTGGCCAGCAAGTTACAATGGTTCCTCTCTTAACACCCAAGGAAGAGCCTGGAGTCACAAAACCAATTGATAGAATTCATACCGATACAGTCCTAAATTTCCTTCTTAGGCTTGCCTGTCAGGTAACTCGCAAATCTTATTCATTGTAACAATTAAAACACAAAAAAGGAAATAGTTTTATTTATTACTTCTTAATTTGCGTTTTTTAGGTGAACGATGTAACAACTCCTAATCCTGCCAATCCAACTGCTAGTAGTCCTGGAGAACTGCTTTCTAGAAGATGCGTAATCCTGTTAAAAACAGCTCTCAAGCCGGACCTGTGGCCCCAACCACCTGATCTCAAGCTTGTTTTCTTCGACAAGATTCTGATGACAGTCGAAGGCGCGAATCCCAACGTTGCCAACGTTTGTACAGCCCTAGAGCTTCTTACTTTCCTACTGGGAGTTATGAAGAAAGAACAGATCCTTGCTAATTTTAAACAGCTACAAAAAAGTTTAGGTAAGAAAATGTGGGATTGAAGTACATTTAATTACTTTTATTGATTTATTTATTTGGTAAAAACAAAGTTTTCATTTGTTTACTTTAGGTGCTTGTATTACATCAACTAATGGGAAGATTATTAAGCTTGTTCATCAACTTTTAACAAAATTAATGGCCCTTTTCCCTACTGAAAGAAGTAATTCAAACATGGCCTGCAAATATGACGAGTTGGAAATATTATATTCTACTATAGGGAAGGTAAGAAAATATTAAAACTTTGATGTCTAATTATGTACTTTTTTAATGAATTGCATTATAAAAGGCCCAAAAATTATCTACTTCGAGTATCAATTCTTCAATTTTTTAGTTTAATTTTTTTTGTTGCAGACCATCTTTGAAGGTCTTTCAAATTATGAAAAAAATCTTCAAGCAAGTCCTTCAAGTCTTTTTGGTACCTTAATGATTTTAAAGGCGGCTTGTATCAATAACAATTCTTACATAGATCAATTAATGACTCCATTTATGAGAGTTTTGCATAGAATTGCTAAAGAACACCTTCAACCGCCAACACCCGAAGCAAGTCCAAGTAGGTGCAAGTTTAATTTTTATTGCTGCTTATTTTTTATAAAGCATAACATATTTTTTTATTTTGTTTACATTTTTAGTGACAAGTGAATTACTTATTTTAAGTTTGGATTTGGTGAAGACAAGGGTAATTGTTATGGGCGTGGAAATGCGAAAAACATTCATTGGTTCTGTCTTAGTTGGCCTAATAGAAAAAACACCTGATATTAAGGTTATGAAAGCCATAACAAAGGTAAGAATTGGCTTTTATTTTAAACTTTTTACTTTTTTGGATTTTTTCTTATTTCTTCTTTACGAGTTTTATTTTGAAATTATGCAGATGTTGGAAGAGTGGATGAAAAGTAAGAACGTAATAACATTGTCCCAGACTCCAAGTTTACGTGAAAAATCAATTTTGTTAGTAAAATTAATGCAATATGTGGAAAAACGATTTCCCGACGACGCCGATCTCAATGCGCAATTTCTTGAACTTGTTAACTATGTTTACACGTAAGTTTCTACTTCTTACTACCTAAGGAAGTTATATATTTATAACCAAATATTTTCACAATTACATTTTATTCAGAAGAACTTAAATTAATTTCGTTAATTTTGTTTCCTTTTAAGTGTTAATAGATTTCATTTCTTGTATATATTGAGGAAAGATTATTTTCACTACTCAATTGACTCACAAAATTTTATGTTTTTTGAAAGTATATTGTTTTACAAATAAGTTATATATTTTTTTATTAGTGACGAGCAATTAAAGCAGTCAGAATTAACGTCTAAACTGGAACCGGCCTTTCTAGCGGGCCTAAGATGCACACAACCTCACATTAGGGCTAAATTTTTCGAAGTTTTCGACGCATCGATGCGTAGGCGTCTTCACGACCGTCTTCTCTACATAACTTGCTCTCAAAACTGGGACGCCATTGGACCACATTACTGGATCAAACAATGCATTGAACTAATCATTGCAACAGCAAGCAAAGGTACTTCATTTTATTCCGAAATAAATTTGACTAACAGTTATTTTAACTGTGTAATACTTTGTAATCATTTTTGTTATGTTATGTTATAGATTATTTTATTTTAAAATAATATAAAACATTGTAGATACGAGGATACAAATGTCCCACGAGAGCAGTATATTGCCGAGTATTACGTCAGTTATAAATGCAGCCGATTACAAAGTACGTCACGAATTCTTTGCCGTAAAACAGGAAACCACGGACCTGTACCAGCCCATGGAAATCAAAGAGGTACTATAAAAAAATTGTTTTAATTTAAATATTTAAATTAGTGTTTTTATCGAATGTCCTATTTAATTCTTAAGCTTTTATCTTAATAACAGACGGCATTTGACTTCATTTGTTTTATTAGAGTAATTTTTTAATTTAACTTCATTTTTCGAAAAATAAAACCAGGAAGTCTTAGACATGGATCTGTCGAATGTCGAATCGAATCCAACCCTTGACGAGAAGCCGATTAATAGGTCCGAAACGTTAAGCAAATTAATCACGAAACACTGTGAATTCCTTGAAGTGGCATCTAACGTCACTACCGACCAATTTCTTGTTGCTGCAGCACAACTGTGTCACATGGATACTAATCTGGCTGAGCAAGTATGGTTGCAGTTATTCCCCAGATTGTGGAATGTTCTCGACGAACAACAGAGAAGTGTAGGTCCATTATTTCATATTAAAGGTGCATTTCGTTTGACCCTTTACTTTTTAGACTTTAGCCCAAGAAATTGTTCCTTTCATAACATCTGGCACTCACATTATCCAGAAGGATTGTCATCCGAGTGCTATAAACACAATTGTAGAGGCACTTTCCAAATGCAACCCGCCCGTTCATATACCACCGTAAGTTTTTGTCTTTTTATTTTTTACAGAGATATAATTTACATGTTATAATCCGTTGTTGGTTTGTAAAGGTCATTGATGAAATATATTGGTAAATCTCACAATTTGTGGCATCGAATGACTCTGGGACTTGAACAGATGGCTTTTGATCCTAACTATCCGAAAACAACTGCGTCGCCTGGGGGATCTTCATGCTACGATTTCGAACCTGAACAAACACCTAAAAGTGTAAGTGGTAACTGCCCTAATTCCTAAACTATTTATTTTTGTTATTATTTTAACTGTAAACGTAAATATCCTTAAGGCAGCATCACCGCCTGTTAAGAAAAATCTAAAGTATTCACGATTAAAAAAAAAAATGGATGCGTGTACTTATGTACGCGCGTGAGAAGTTATACTTCTTTGGCATCATTAAAAAATAGTTTTTAATTGCATGCAAATAATTAATTAGGATAAAATTATAAAAGGACTGGAAAAAAATAGTCAACACAGTCAATATAGTTCAGTTTAAATTTGAAAAATTAAATAAATAAAGAAAAGACGTA